GCACTGAACCCCCCGTCTCGTAGAAATCAGGTTTTTGTCTAGAACTTTAACCAAGGTTAGTATGTGGATTTCTGTACTCATATTCAGTGCTCGAGCTTTCTGTGCGCGGTTTTCATATCGAACTGTTTCGTTTGACTAGGCTCGTGAACGAGCCCCTGGCACCTTGCCCCAGAGGAAAGAGACACTCTTCCCACTTTACATCGTTGAAGTTGATTGCTGATATCATCTTACTTTCTCGTTATCTCTCTTCGAGTGAACCTCGACGAGGCGACAAATCCTCCTCCTCCTCCTCCTCTTCCTGCTCCCCCTCCTCCTCTTCCTGCTCCCCCTCCTCCTCCTCCTCCCCCTCCTCCCCCTCCTCCCTTCTGCTCCCGTGCCAGGTGGGGGACGGATCATCAAACAGTGGCGAAGCGCCTTGCCTCGCCTGTAGGCCACCCAAAGACGTTCTGAGAACCTCTTGTGAGTTGCACGAAATGTTCTTAGAACATGTCTGGCTGAGGCTGTCTTGTTTTAGCACATTGGGTTTATGTTCTGAGAACATTGTGTTTGTTCTTGGAACATTTGGGGGGGTCTGAGAACATGTCGTGGTAGGCCTATAGGAATGCCGGGACTGTCGGCCCCTGCTCACAGGGAGGGTCGTCGTTCCCGTCCTTTCTGGCGGTGTGAGAGCTGCCGCCGCCCGGGTGCTCTACCAGGGACTTGGCCGCCGCAGCCCGATGCGATTCGAGACCGCGCGCGCCATCGCAGACGGAGCCGCGCGCGCCTGCACGACTCTCCCTCTCTCCCTCTCTCTCTCTCTCTCTCCTTATCTCTCTCTCTCTCTCTCTCTTTCTCTCTCTCCCTCTCTCGTTCTCTCTCTCTCTCTCTCTCTCTCTCTCTCTCTCTCTCTCTCTCTCGCAATTTACATATATATATATACATATCTATATACATGACTGTATATATATATATATATATGTATATATATACCCTCTCTTGGCCCTACTTAGCTTACCGCCTGAAGCAGGCAAGCAGGCGCCGCCGTGCACGAAGCGGGCGCAGGCGGCATGTTGCGCGAGCTAACGCGGCGCAGGCAGCGCGGTGCAGGCCACCGCGCAGCGCAGGCCTCGTCGCGCGCAGGCCGTGCGGCCGCGGCCGCGGCGGGAGCTCCGCGGCGCAGGCCTGCGGGTGGTCGGCAGCACGAGGCGCGAGGCGCGCCCACGCGTCGGCGCGCGGCGCCCACGAGGCGAGCCTGAATTCGGGCGTGTCCCCCTTACACGAGGGATTTTCGATGGAAAAAATGTTTTTTTTGATATTCTATATATATATATATATATATATATATACCAGAAAGATCAAAAAAAAATACCCAAAAAATAGTCCCCAGACTATTTGGGGACTGTTTTTTTGATTATGTTTGGGTGTATTTTTCTATTTGTCGTCGAAAGTCCCCCTGTGGGGGGACACGCCCGACTTCAGACGAGCCCCCCCCCGGTCGGGCACCCGGGGAAGCCTCGCGGCACGGGGCGCCGACGGGACCCGCCCACGAGCGGGCACTGCGCGAGGAGAGCCAGGCCACCCGCGAGGCTGTGCGTGCGCCGGGCCTGTCCCCCATACGGGGAGAGAATGTTCAGAAATGGTCCAGACAAATAGCACGTTTCAACTATGTTTGGGTATTTTGGGGGTATGTTTGACTTGTCGTCCAAAAGCCGCCTGTAGGGGGACACGCCCGACTTAAGACGAGCCCCCCCCCGGTCGGGCGCCCGGGAAGCCTCGCAGCACGGGGCGCCGACGGGACCGCCCACGAGCGGGCCGAGGCAAGCCAGGCCACCCACGAGAGACTGCGCTTGAGCCGGGCCCGTCCCCCCTACGGGGAGAGAAAGTTCAGAAAGAGTCTAAACAGACAGTCGGGGCACGATGTTTCGTGAGCACGTTTTGACTATGTTTGGGTATTCTGGGGGCATTTTGGACCACAAGTCAAACATACCTCCAAGATACCCAAACATAGTCAAAACGTACTTGAGCCGGGCCCGTCCCCCCTACGGGGAGGGAGAATGTTCAGAAAGAGTCCAAACAGACAGTCTACGACGCGAAGATCGGGACAAAATCGGATCGGGAGAACTCGAAATCTCTGAGAGTCGGCGGGTTTGGAGGATGTATTGGGCGCCGCGGCCGCTCCAGAGCGTTCCGGAACGCTCTGAGAGCGCTCCGGAACGCTCTGGAGCGATTTATCCCGATCCTAGCCCGGTTTTATAGTCGGGGGAGGATGTGTTGTGAGTACGTTTTAGCTATGTTTGGGTATTCTGGGGGTATGTTTGACTTGTGGTCCAAAAGCCGCCTGTAGAAGGACATGACCGACTAAAAACTGCTCAAGGAGGCAGGTAGCCGCCCCTAGTGCAAGCAGTGACTTTGGGGAGCAAGGCCGATCTCGGTTCGATGGGTCCACCTCGGCGTCGTGTCCGCTCGTCCTCGATGCGATCCTGCGCCGGGTTTCCGACGATCCCGAGCGGCTTGGTGCGGAGACTACGCAGCCACGCATCCTGGCGCGGCCGATCCGATTCGATTTCGATGCCGTGCTGATGCATCGTGATGCGATGCCCGCTCTGGACCGATCCCACTCGACTGGCACCAGTCGGCGCTCACACTCTGCCGAGAGGGGCTCGGAGAGAGACCCCACTTCCTGGGCCAGCGAGGGACGCACCGGTGCGCGTCCGCGGGCATCGCCACCGTCTGGAGCACCCCGACTTTCTGTCTGCGCAGGGGCCGCCGCGGGGCGCACGCCCTCGAGGGGGCGAGGCGCCGCCTCCACGTGCCGCGGGCGCCCCCCCTGCGGCCACGGGGCCCCGCGGCCAGGCGCGAGGTGCTGCCGCGGGCTGCCTGCCGAGCTCGGCCGGACACGCCCGCGGTGCGCGGCGGGGCACGCCGACGTTGTTTGCTTGCGCGGAGGCCGCCCTCGGGGCACCTCCCTTGAGGGAGTGCGAGGCGCCGCCTCCGCGCCGCAGCCGCGCAGAGCGCGGCCACACGGGGCCCGGCGGCCGAGCAGCGCGGTGCTCCCGCGGGGCCGTTGCCGAGCTCGTGCAGAAATTCGCACCGCCGGCCCTTCCAAGGCCTCCCAGTTGCCATCGGCGTTGGGGGGAGCATGGCGAGGGAGAGAGGGGAGGTTTTTGTTATTCCCTACCTAGGCTCTGCCTAGAAGGGTTCTTACTCTCTGGGCTTAAAGGGGCCGGGCAGTGGAGAGTGATGTGCTGCCGCGGGCTGCTTGCCGAGAGCTCGTGTAGAAACGCACCGCCGGCCCTTCCAAGGCCTCCCATGTGCCATCGGCGTTGGGGAGCATGGCGAGGGAGAGAGGGGGAAGGTGATCGTTTTGTTGTGCCTTGTTTTGCAGATCGGCGCGGGCCCTCGTACCTCCCCCCTCCCGCCCGCCCCCCCCCCCCCATGGAGCAGATCTTGGCTGCTCTTCGGAGCCTGTTTCGAGCAGGTGGAGTCTCCCCTCATATAGGACCCAGCGCTGCAAGCAGTCGCGCTGAGCAGAGGTCCAGAGCCAGACCCCCCTCCCCTCCCCCCCTTCCTCCCAATGTCGAGACGCCGAATCAAAAAAAACACGCTCGCAAGTGGATAGGACGAGCAGGAGGAGGTGCAGGAGCAGCGGGAGGAAGAGAGGTAGGGGGAGGAGGACGACGAGGAGGGGGGGGGAAGAGAGTAGAGAAGGGGAGAGGACAGAGGAGGAGGGCAGGGGCGCGAAGAGGAGAGGAGAAGAGGGGAAGATTGACACACCGCTTCCACGGCTCCTCGGAGCTCATGGAGTGGCTTCTTGGTGGACGCTCGAGTGGCATGTCACAGAAACTTTCCTCCTGGAGGACGGAGGACGTATCTTCCCCAGAAGGGGGAGGAGGAGGAGGAGGAAAAGGAGGGAAAGGAGAAGGGGGAGGAGGGAGCCTCCCAGAGCGAGCTGACACCTCCCACAGCCCGTGGATCTCAGGGTACTCCCGCTGTGCAGCGCTCCCGCTGTGCAGTGCACGGCTCGCACCAGGCAGTCGACTTTCCGAAGCCCTGTCCACCAGGGACGGCGGGCAGGAGGAGAAGGAGCAGGAGGAGGGGGAGGGGAGGAGGAGGAGGAGGAGGAGGAGGAGGAGGAGGCACAGGACGAGGAGGAGGACGAGGAGGAGAAGGAGGAGGCCCAGAGGAGGAGGAGAGGAGGAGAGAGAGAGAGGAGAGGAGGAGGAGGAGGAGGAGGATCAGAGAGCGCAGAAGACGCTCAAGTTGCTCAGGGCAGGCGGGGCCCCTCCGCCAAGCTGGGGGGCTGGGAGGGCCGACCATGCCTCTTGAGCGGCTATCTCTGTTTGCTTGGTTGTTTGCTGGCGTTGGGCTTCACATCGAGGGACGTGGTGCGTCGGAGTCTCCGAGGCTCCGACAGGGAGGAGAGGGGAGGGGAGAGGAGGAGGGGGAATGAGGAAGAGAAGGGAGGAGGAGGGGGGGGAGGAGGAGGAGGAGGAGTAGGAGGAGGAGGAGGAGGAGGAGGAGGAGAAGTGAGCTAATTGTCGGAGGGGGTTCTGACCCTGACGCTCCGCCTGCGGATCTGTATGTTGTGTGAGCTGTTGCCCCCGATGCCGTTATTGTCGCCGTTGTGCGAATATTACGATGCGCAGGTTGTGGGCAGAGTTGCACTCAAGGAGGTGGTGAGTATTGGATTAGTGTGGGGTGGTCGAAGTTTGTCCATAGAACAGTCCACGTGCCCCGCATTGATTCGTGCGGGGGCGGGCTGAAGAGGAGCAGGACTTGCATCCCCAGCCCCATGGCGCGCCTGTGGCAAGCATGGTCAGGGCTGGATGCAGAAACTGTCCCTCATTTTATGTCAGGGTCAGACCTCGTTATTTCACGTATGTTTGACTTCGCCAGGATCTGGATAGTTGAGCTTGGGCCCAATGGTATGCACCCCATGGCGCCAGGCACTATCAAATGTGAGCCGCGGCACTGCAATAGCATGTTTACCCATGAGACAATTAGACGTACTGATGTCGCCTCAGGCATCCTGAAGAACGATAGGCGGGACGAACTCCTCCAGACCTTGGCGGAAGAGATCAAGCAGCTGAAGGATCCGAGTCTGGCCCACGGGGGGCAGCAAGAGGATGTCCGGAGGAGGAGGGGGAGGAGGAGTATTCTGTCAAATTGTCCAACAAGGCTTTGATGGCACAAGCAGGTCTGGAAATAATGGTTACGCTCTAGGCTCCGGAACGGTCATGCATATGATAGAGTTTAGGGGGCATTGTGTTGGCTATGAAGACGGTGGAGCTGGGGTGGTGGGTCCGCCCCCTGGTTGCCCCACTAGTCTGACGGGAGCTGTAATTGTCACCGTGCCTCTCATTCAATGACGGGCGGTCGACGCCGCAGCGGTTTTATTAGGCATCGGCAAGAGGCAAAAACGGACTCGCGCGGGAAAAATAGCGCGGCGGTTCTGGTCGTAGAAGCCGCTCATCTGGTTGTTGTGATTATTAGCATTATCACTATCATCCGTAGTATGAGCATTGAGATAGTCTGCATGAACAATAGTATTTCTATTCTTATTACTAGCATTGGCATTACACTATTATTAATATTGTTCGGAGTATTATTATTGTTCTTGCTACCGATTTACCTGATGATCTGTGTGTGTGCCCCCCGCCCGTGGCAACCTCCCGACGGGCCCTTTGTGGCTCCCGCGCGCAGGCGGCAGCGCGCGGGGGGGCCACGCGGCAGCGCGCATGCCGAGGGGCGTGCTCGTGCGGCGCTCGCGTTGGCAGTTATGGCATCGGCTGATGGCACGCTTGCCGACGAGCGCTCCATCATCGATCGCTGAGTCTCCGCGACTGGCTGCATCCCTAGTCGACACCGTGGCATTGCCGCGAAGGCGGGCCGATGCTCGAGGGGGCCGCTGGGCCACTGCCCTTGCCCAGTGCCTTGTCCTAGGGCCCAGTGTATCCCAGGGCCCGTGCATCTCCGACCGCAGCTCAGGAGCAGGAGGAGGAGGACAGAGCCCAGCCGAGCCGGCCGCCAGCTCCTGTGCGATCGCTCGCTCTGCCCGCCGCGGAGGCGGGGGCTGGTGCTGCAGGTCATCCGTGCAGCACGGTGTCCCGTCGCGAAGACCTCACACTTCTGAGGGAGAGCAGGAGGAGGAGGAGGAGGAGGAGGAGGAGGAGGAGGAGGAGGAGGAGGAGTGAGGGGCAACTCTGGGAGGGGATGGGCTCCATGGATTACGCCTCGATCCCCGATCGCCCACTCGTCGCCGCTTGGGGCCCGATGGCCCACCCCTTCTTGGGAACGTGCGGATTTGCTGTCGGGGGGCCTGCTGCTGATCTGTAGTAGTAGTAGTAGTAGTAGTAGTAGTAGTAGTAGTAGTAGTAGTAGTAGTAGTAGTAGTAGTAGTAGTAGTAGTAGTAGTAGTAGTAGTAGCAGTAGTAGTAGTAGCAGTAGTAGCAGTAGCAGTAGTCGTAGTCGTAGTAGTAGTAGTAGTAGTAGTAGTAGTAGTAGTAGTAGTAGTAGTAGTAGTAGTAGTAGTAGTAGTAGTAGTAGTAGTAGTAGTAGTAGTAGTAGTAGTAGTAGTAGTAGTAGTAGTAGTAGCAGTAGTAGCAGTAGTAGCAGTAGTAGCAGTAGCAGTAGCAGCAGCAGTAGCAGCAGTAGTAGCAGTGGTAGTGGTAGTGGTAGTGGTAGTAGTAGTGGTAGAAATATGAGTATGAATAATAGCAGCAATCACGACAATAGCACCAACAAGAAGAAGGACAGCAGTAGTAGTAGTCTGATCGTCGTACTAATACTCGAGCAGGAGGAGCAGGAGGAGGAGGAGGAAGATAAGGACGAAGAGGAGGACGACGAGGAGGAGGAGGAGTTTCACCGCCGAGAACAGCAGGGGGGTATCAGAGCAAAAGACCCTTAGAGGTTACGGCACAGCACCAGAGGGTACCGCATTATCGTGCGCCACACAATTTCACCAGCTGCCTACCAGATATCAGCTAGGCTGCCGCAGTGCGAAATGACACCGCACGGCACCGCACTCGCCACTTCGGTCATCATTGCCCTCGTCATCAGTTGGATCATTATCGCCATCACGCCCGGCTGCAAGAGGAGTACGTCCAGGTCTCCGGCATAGCGGCCAAGGCGAAGGTCGAGGGGTCGCCGCTCGCCTACAGCAGCCCGCTTCAGCTGGCGGACCTCTCGGCGAGTTCTGCCCAGGACCGGAGCATCAGGTCAAGCAGTGGCGAAGCGTCTTGGTCTGCTTACAATCCCACCAGGAATTGTGCGAAAACAGTCTGTGGCGTGTACAAAATGTTACGAAAGCACTTCCGACTGAGGTAGCATTGGTGTAAGTCATTGGTTTCACGTTCTAAGAAAATTGCGTTTCGCTGATCGAAAAAAACCGCTGAAATCATGAAAGGTCGTGGCACTCCTATAGGAATGCTGGGACGGTCGGTCCCTTGTCAAGAAGGAGGAGCGGCAGGATCGACTGCTATTTTCACGACTCAGATGAAGGATGAGGAGGAGGACGAGGGAAGGCAAGCAGGAGCGTGATGCGCGCTCGGTTGAATTATGCTCCTTTGCCTTGCGGTGTACATTGTCCGGCGCAAAAGTAATTCAGCAGCTGACTCAGAGGGGGGGCAGTGGATAAGGCGTGGCACGAAGGGGGAAGGGCGATGACGGGGGTGAGGAGCATCGAGGCGGTTGGAGAGACGAGGGAGCAAGAAGGAGAAAGGAAGGACCGTGGCGAACATTCAATTACTCACTGCGTGGAGCTCCCCATATGTGCATACCATGTTTTATGTCATGCCATAGTGAGCGTCTGTTCATGAGCGTTTGACTATAATAGCGCGTCCACATGGGCGACAGGGCCGACGAAGACGAGTGAATCCTAATGCGAGTGAGTGAGTATGAGTCAGAGTGAGCTTTGAATATGATTGAATATGAGCCTCCCATTCATTCCCCCTGCTCCGTGCGTGCGTCCTTCCTCCTTCGTGCGTCCCAGAGGGTACGTGCCGGAGCACGACCCAAGAGAGCAGCACGCCTCATCTCCTTTCCCGCAGCATGAAAACGAACAAACCGCCTGAGACATCCCCGCAAAATGGCCGCGAACGGGCCCGTGTCCTACCCCTTGGCGGCTCTCCTTAGGGATGCTGAAACCAGCGCCCCGCCTGAGACATCATCAAAATCTGCTCCGAAAGCCAAGGATGTTGGGCACCGAAACAGGCAAACCGCCTAAGACATCCCCACAAACTTGCCGCGAGCGGGCCCGTGTCCTACCCCCTGGCAGCTCCTTTTAGGGGTGCTGAAACCAGCGCCCCGCCTGAGACATCCTCACAATCTGCTCTGGAAACAAATTAATGTTGGGCACCGAAACAGGCAAACCGCCTGAGACATCCCCACAATCTGGCCGCGAACGGGCCCATGCCCCTTGGGGGTGCTGAAACCAGCGCCCCGCCTGAGACATCCTCACAACCTGCCCTGAAAGCCAAGGATTTTGGGCACGAAAAAGGCAAATCTTTCAATGGAGATGAATCGTTGTAAGGGCCTATGAAGAGGGAGCTTGGAAGGAGGGTTTATTCCAACATCGTTGATGACTCTTGGGTTTACACTGGTCCTCCTCCTCCTCCTCCTCCTCCTCCTCCTCTCTCCTCCTCCTCCTCCCTCCCTCGTCCTCCTCCTGCTCCTCCTCCTCCTCCTCCTCCTCCTCCTCCTCTTCCTCCTTCCCGCTCCCCCTCCTCCTCCCCCTCCTCCTCCGTTCGCCGCCCTCCTGCGCCTTCCCCCCTCCCCCCCCTCCCCCGGTCCTGCAGGACGGCGCCTTTGCGAGGAGCGGCGGGCGGCCCGAAGGCGGTGCGGCCGCCAGCGGCCGCGGGGGGGCCGTGCTCGACGAGCGGGGTCGGCCGGCCCGCAGCTTGGCCTTCCGGGGCTGCGGGCGGGAGGGTGGGCTCGACTGCCTTTGCGTCGGGCATGTTTCTCTACAGGAGGAAGACTCCAGAACAGTCAGAAATAGGCAAGTGACGACGTGTCGCGTTTTGATTTTGTTACTGTGAGCATGACTTGGCCATTTGTTGTTTTCTGTCTTCCTTCTCAAACCCACCTGTAGGAGGGCATACCCGACCTCAGACTGGACGTCAGAGTGACCCTTCGCTGGAGTGACCTTCGGTGCGGGCTCATCGGGGCCCCCGCGGTCGTGGAGCGCCCTCCGGTAGCGGCTGCGTGCGCGCCTGGGTCTGGCCCCTTCGCGACCCCTTCCTCCGCGCGCCAGAGGTCACTCCTACCCAGGGTCACTCCTGCGTGTAGCCGATGGACGTGCATTTCGTCCGCTTTTGCCTCGTCCTCTTTCGACCCGTCCGCTTCCATTCGTCCGGTTACGATTCGTCCCCGGGGCGGAGCTGGACGGGAGCCCCGTGCGGAGGCACAAGAAAGGCGCCCAGATCTCTGACGAAACGGCTTGTTCAACCCTGCAGTGGTTCCTCGAGGTCGGCTTCTGGGGCCGGCTATCGGGCCCTGGGGGCCAACATACACGGATCCAGAGCGAAAAAGTACCCCTGGGGAAAGGGTCGAGAGACCTTTGGGGCCGCGGCTGGGCCAAATCAGATCGGCGGATGTCTGGGAGCGTGAGAGGAGGGGGCGCGGAGAGGAGCGGGAAGGCCGAGAGCCGCATGCAGGCTGGCCCCATCGGGGCCACGGTTTGGAGCTCCGCGCGGGGCGCGAAGAGTACGAGGGCCGGGAACGGCGCTGACCTCTTCCTCCTCCTCTCTCCCCTCCGATCCTGGCGTCGGAGAAAACATGAGAGACTCGGTGTTTTGTTCCTCAGTCTGGGCCTCGAGAAGAGCTGACCTCTTCGTCCTCCTCTCTCCCCTCCGATCCTGGCGTCGGAGAAGACAGGAGAGACTCGGTTTGTTGTTCCTCAGTTTGGGCCTCGAGAAGGAGGAGGAGGAGGAGGAGGGGGAGGAGGAGGGGGAGGAGGAGGAGGAGGAGGAGGAGGAGGAGGAGGAGGAGGAGGAGGAGGAGGAGGTGGAGGTGGAGGTGGTGGAGGAGGAGGAGGAGGAGGAGGAGGACGAGCCTCGAGAAGCCGCTTCTGGGCCCGGGGTCGTCGCACAACGGCCCAGGATGAGAGGGGCCGGTCCCCCGGGGGGGAGGGAGCCGACGCCTCGGGGCGCAGGTCACACGAAAGGTGGCGGTCGGAACCGGCCGATCGTTCCAGGTGGAACGACCCCGTCGGTGCCAGGAGCCCACGCCGAAGGCGACACGACGCTTCGGGGCGCACGTCACGAGAGATGGCGGTCGGGAACGGCCGATCGTTCCAGGTTGAACGATCCCGTCGGTGTCGGGACCCCACGCCGAAGGCGACACGACACTTGGCATCGCTCGGACGTGTACATTTTTCCTTCGGCGAGGAGCATCGAGGAGCATCCTTGATCCTTTGGCGAAAAAAACACGCACGAAACCGAAAAATCTACAGGAAATGGACGTCCGAGTGATGGCCAGCAACACGACAGGAGCCTGCCGTAGCAGCCAAGTTCTCGGAGCTCCGCGTGGACTTCTTGGATATCGGCGCTGGGCCCCTCGGGGGCGACGCCTCCGGCACCGCCGTTGTCGCGCTCTGCGCGCCAGGGACCTTGGCATCGCTCGGACGTGTGCATTTTTCCTTCGGCGAGGACCATCGAGGAGCATCCCTGATCATATGGCGAAAAACCCACGCTCGAGACCGAAAAAAAGCACACACAGGAAATGGACGTCCGAGCGATGGCCAGGAGGTGATGCTTGTGCCGTTTCAGGGCGCGTGGATTCGCTGCGGGTCCCGCTGCCATGCGAGAGGTCGGCGCGCGCGCTCCGTCGCCGAGCGAGGCGGGGCGGGGCAGCGGCTTCCTGTTTCGGAGAGCGCGTTCCCCGATCCGTAGCCCATGCCAGCGCGTGCCCGACTCTCGGGAACTCGGCGAGCGCGCGGTCTGCGTGGCCCTTCGGCTGGTCTCCTGGTCGCCGGCGCCCCTTCTCCTCTCCTCGTCGCGGGTTGCCCGACCCCAGGGCGCCGCCGACGCTTGAGCGCATCCTCCATCTCCTCGTCCTTCCTCCTCGTCCTTCCTCTCGCTACTTTTTGTATGCGCCGCAAGCTGTACCCATAGCTCTGTCTGGCGCAGGCGCACGCAAGGCGATAGACGCTTGCATGGATTGCGAGCTCCTCCTCCTCCTTCTCCTCCTCCTCATCATCACCATCAGAATCATCATCATCTTCATCATCAGGTATGGTCGACTATCATCATCAACAACAACATCATCATCATCACCATCATCATAATAATCATAATCATCACCATCATCATAATCATCATCGTCGTCAGCATCATCATATAGTATCTCCTCTCCTTCATCCTCTCTCTCTCTCTCTCTCACACCTCTATCTCCTCTCTCCCCCTCCTCCTCATCATCATCGTAATCATCATCATAACCATCATCATCATCCTCATCCTCATCCTCATATGCCTCCTCCTCATCTCCTCTCAGACTCCTCTCTTCTCTCTCCGTCTCTCTCCCCCTCTCTCTCTTTGTCTCTATCCCCCTCTCTCTCTCTCTCTCTCTCTCCTCTCTCTCTCTCTCTCTCTCTCTCCGACGACGGCGAGAGTAGTGTGGAGCCTCCCTCATCTTTCACAGGCGTTGCTCGTTCGAATCCTGATTACGTTTTGAACTTTGAAGCGCGAGTGGCCGCCTTGCACAAGAGAATCAGGTTGAAGGAGGGGGTTGCCAGGAGCCAGGCTGCTTTCTCTTGATAGAGCCGCGGCACTCAGAAGCTCGAGCTGTTCCTCGCAGGAGGGCGCCAGCAGCCATGAGCTCCAGCTCGCACACGGCGGAAGTATTCTAGAAGGAAAATATGCTTCCAGGCGGGTCCCTCGGACACATCACTTGTATGTTACGGATTGGCGGGCGCAGTTCGGGGTCTGAGAAAATTCCTTTGGTCGTGATAGGCACAAGCGCTATGGTCCAGGGTCTCGGCCATTCCTCCAAAAAATCAGGAACTCTGCCGATTCGAGCCTCCGCGTTTCTTGACAATCGCATCCTTACTTAAACCCTCCACCGAAGCGTGAAGCAGGCACCGCTTCGGTCATACAGTCATACAGTCTTCCTCCTGCTCCTTCTCCTCCTCCTCCTCCACCACCTCCTCCTCGTCCTCATCCTCACCCTCTCCCTCCTCATCCTCCCCCTCCATGCTTTTTTTCTTTATAAATC